AAATTTTGGATAATTTCTTGAATGTTTTGTTCAGGTCTTACTGGTAAAATCATCGCAGCCATATCCAGCAAGGGTTTTGAAATTTCTGCAGTTCAGATGGTAAGTCACTGGAACACTAGAATTTCAATGCAACCCAGAGTTAATTGTTCAGGGAATTTTGAGCAGTTTTGTCTCAGAAAGGTTGTTTTTTTCCCTCCTATACTGTAATGGTGTGTAATTTTGTTTGCTGTTAGCCAACTATTTAAAACAGAACTGGGCTGCCTTTACTTATGTTCACATTATTTAATCTCCAGTTTCATCTTGAAAGAGCCAACGCAGAAGAATTTCATGAAGTGTACAAAGGTGTTGTAAATGAATACAAAGTAAGTGATAGTGTGTGGTTAAGTTAAAATCCACCTGACAAAAATGCAACCTTATTAATAAAAGTATTTCCATGTTCAAACAAAAATAATAGCAAAGAAGAAAAAAAAACATCAAGAACAAAGTCGTCCAAAACGTAACGTGTTAATTTTATCCACTCAACATACTTTTCCCTACTTTTTCATATTGTAATCTGTTCTGTCCTTGCCTTCATTGGACATCCTCATCAGTTCTCAGAGCTTGTGAAAATAACTTAAATAGCAGTCTGTAGCATTTGTCACTTGCCCTGGCCCCAGGCAGTTGTAGTGCAGTCTGTCTGTCTGTTTGTTTGTTTTAAAATACTTATTTAGTCAGAGGAAAGGCTCGCCAGGACCCTTGCCCAACAGGAAGATCTGCCAATGCTGGAAAACTGGACGGAACTTTTTTTGAGTCCTACTTTCAAATTGGTTCCTGTCACTTGTTGAGCTGTAGTATTTCAACAAATCATCAATATGTTTGGTTTTCTCGTATTTTAGGCAGATCAAGGTATGTTACCTGGCGCCGATTTTTTTGTTAATCCTGATTTGTTTCTTATCTTCCTTCAGAGTATGGTTGATGAACTGTGTTGTGGTCCGTGTTTGGCCATGGAGATTAGAGCCCCTGATGCACCAGTCACATTCAGAGAGTTTGTTGGTCCTTCTGATCCTGTAAGCTGCCTCCATCACAACTCTATTGTTTCCCAGTACATGTTTGCGCGCAGGCTATCGTGTGTGCATTACGTGCGTGTTTGTGTGTGCATTACATGCGTGTTTATCTGTGCGTTATGTGCGTGTTTGTGTGAACGTTACGTGCGTGTTTGTGTGTGCCTTATGTACGTGTGTGCGTGGTGGGTCAACAGTGTTCCGAGTCACCAAAATTCAACTTCAAGTGACTGCCATAAACTAAAACCAACTTCCCCTCACTAAGCCAGGCACGAATAACTTCCATAACGAAATGAACCAATTAAAAGTCGAAGTAAAGGCGTGGAGAGGGTTCTGAGCGCGGGAAAACTCGCGTAAGGATTTAGACTGGTTTTCGTTTTGTGACTAACTTAGGATGACAATGTCAATTAAGCCAGTCCCCACCCCTGCCGTACCCGCCCAAAAAACCATAATGTCAACATTACTGAACAACATAACTTACTTTTGAGGAATTCTTGATTTCGTTAAATATTTCGTTAATTAATTTTATGTTGCGACAAGAATTTTGCATTGTGCGACATAAAGGAACGGCTGCCATAACTTATTTTTATCAAAGCCTTGTTTTCAATTTTATCCACACTGTAATCTTTTTTCATGCTTACTTTCTAATGTGCTAAATTCCTGTATCTGCCCTGTTCTTCTAGATTCTAGTATCTTTTCAAGGAAGCTCTTGAAACAAAAAGCCTCATTGTGTGTGTGTGATGTGCGAAAAAAAAATCAGGCAACCTTTTAAAATGCGTGAAAAAAGTTCCTGACATTAAAACGCTAACATGACTGACATAACTGTTTTCAGGAAATCGCTCGTCATCTACGACCTGGAACATTACGGGCAATGTTTGGTAAAGATAAGATAAAAAACGCTGTACACTGCAGTGATCTACCTGAAGATGGCCTCATCGAGGTTCGTACACATATTTTTTGGTTTTCCGAACTCATGGGAACGAATGAGAAAGGGGCGCGTTCCAATGGCTTGACAACTTATATTTGTCTTGATTTTTTTTATTATTATTTCAGGTGCAGTACTTTTTCAAGGTGTTGGATCATTGAGTGAACTATAACAGTATTTTCTACTGTAGTAAACCTGTATTTTGTTGACACAAACGTTATATATCAAGTCAAACGGTCCATGTTTACTAAGTTATACTTATGTTATGTACAAATAGTTAATGCGAGTCAACCGGGCGAATGTGTACATAGTAAAATTAAAGAGATTTTGAATAAAAACTGACTTTTTAGGATGCACGATGGAGCAAATATCGCTCAGTGAGAACAGAGATGTGGCAATTGTGATGATGTGCGTTTTAGAATTAGTTCTCTGTGCGTATTGATAAAGAGACAACACGAATTTGTAATAAAGATCTGTTCAACCTGACTATAGAAGAACATGCCTTCACTTACGAGCAACGGGGATAGGCTTCTAAACACAAGAGAGACTTATGTAAGTTAAGCCAGCTTGAGCTTCTTTTTTCCAAGCTTTGACACCCCGTAGACTTAAATTCGTTAGTGGTTTTCATATTTAATTGCATATTTTTGGTTAGCCTGAAATGTTTGTGATATCCCGCCCTCAGCCGTCTAATCCCCTTGCTAATTCCCGTCTCTCGCCCCGGGCCGATTAGGTTGAGGGCGGGGAATGATCGACATTTTAAGCTACTTTTTGGTATGCTTCGGCGGCATATCAGGTGAGTTTCAGAATGAGAATCTGATGAGCACCCCCGTCCCCCGCCGGGCTTCCACTCCTCTGTGTGCTGCTTGTGTTTTGGGGTCGTGTCAAAGCGATTTCAGCGAGTTTTAGTTTCAAGCTCAATGAAAACTGAATTGAAACTAAAACTGGATCGCTGAAATCGCTTTTAAACGGCCCCAGAACGCCACGGAAATACAAGTAGCAGACGGAAGAGTCGAGTTGTTATCAAATGTCTTTTCTACAATATATTAAAATTTTCAGGGCTTCCAAAGAGTTTGGGATACCTGTTGATACGCATGAGGAGACCAAACATTTACCGTACGACCCGTAATCAAATTCGAACAAAAAATCCAACTATATTAGGTCAGTGACTTGATATCGCAAGATAAGAGAACAGTAGACACGGCTTCTGATTGGCTAATTGCGAATTTGGGAACGGTAGAACAAAACTTGTTTATTTTCTCTTGGACAAATTCAATATAGTTAGATTACTCGGCAGCCTTGGCATCAGCGCGATTGCAGGTCAGCGCATCGGAGAATATATATATACTGAGTTTCTTCGAGTCTTGTACTGTTTTTTTGTTTTGTTTTGTTTTAGTTCTTTTTCTTTTTTTTTTCCGTTTTGTTTTGTTTTGTTTTTGTGTGTGTGTGTGTGTGTGCCCAAAATTGTCGCTCACATTGCTATCGGAGAGTGTTTTACCTCGCTGTATTCCTACACGTTGTGACACGTACTGTGTAAAATCGTGTTTTCTTCCATTTTTTCGGACTAGAGTCTATTTGGCCCTCTCAAATGCTCAAAATAAAAAAGCTACAACGACAGTCTACCTTGTAATATCTCAAGGCTCACCGCGCAGGGCCTGGCGATAACTCCTAAACAATTTTCCGAATCAACTCAGGTCCAAGTTTAAAAATTTAACTCCGATTTCTGGAACGTTTAACTCCGATTTCAGTAATTTCATATCGGTGAAACCGGACATGTTAGCCGTGTTAAACTCATCAGAAACCGGTGGAGCCTTATCCATACATTCCTTAGAGCCCCTAATCCAGAAACCCCAAAAGGCCCTCAGTCGTGGAGCCTTACGCAATCAATTGCCAAACATGGTAAGCACACCTGAAACGCGATTGCTGTCTACTGCCACCACTGCCATAACGAACATTGACCAAGTAGATCAAGGAGGTGACATTTTAACCTGGAAAAACTACTTCTACGCGATGTAACGTCGTCAAAATAACTAAATACCAAGGTACGTTAGTTCTTTGTTCGCGGTACGATAGTGCTGACGCATAGAGAAACGTGCGAGGAAGTAAATATTCGACGTTGTGAGGCACGAGTTTAGGTTGAACATTCGCAAACGACTTGGAAAGCGAATTTCGAAAGTAAAAAGCTTTACTTCTCTATCAAGAAGTAAAAAAAAGGTGGGGAATGCTTTTTGTGTTGCAAATACAACGATTGCCGAAATACTGTCAAATGGTTGAGATGCAATCGTTTGTTGACGAGAACATGTTCTAAGTGAACAGCGTAGACTTCAAGTTTGTTTCCGTGCAGCAAATAAACTCTCTGTCGATCGACATGATGCAGCTAGGACTCAAATTTGCCGCTGTGTCTTTCTCTCGTTTCCCAAGGAATTTTGTATTGTAGAGTTAGATTATTTTAGAGTGTTACGACCTGTCTTAGTACGTATGACAATCGAGAATAGGCGCAAAATACATAAAAAAATTGAGATGGATGCAGGGTTCGATTCAACTAGCTCTGACGTCTTTTGTTTTTTCGGTGAAGATAATTGGTATTTTTTTTCCGCTTTATTTTGGTCCATTCTCCCAGAATACCTCATCCATTAGAAATATCTTACATGTTTAACAAAATCTCGTGAACTGCGCGTGGTTTACAATTTTGCTTCCAGAAGGGCTGCATGACTGGGCGTAATGTGAAACTAGGTAAGCTTAGATGGTGGCATCACTACGTGACGTTCCTCAGCAAAGCTTACCTCTGTACTTTTGTATCTTGAAGGTCATAGTACTACTACATATGCTTGGAACATGTATAGTATTTACAATAATATTTCCAATTAAAGTTATAAACTTGAAGATGTACATTGGACAAAGAGTGAGATAAGACTTGAGGAAAATAAAGTTAAAGATTATGCCATTTTCATTCCATGTCACTTTGTTTTCCTCAAGAAACGTTCTGTTTGCTACATAGTATTTTGTTGGCAATTTCAAAATTAATGTCAGGGTTCACTTAACCTGTGTGGTTACTTTCATCAGACACAGTAAACAACAGGACAGGGTTGTCCAAAGCCTGATTAAGGTCATTCCCCAGTATTGCATTTGCGCATCCCTACTGCGCATAATTTCACGCGCGATTAGCGCGCATGCATTAAAAAATGGTGGCTTTTTCTTTGCGGCTGGACCTCGCCATAGAGGTAAATCGTCATTTTCTCGAAAACAAGTATGGTGACCTATCATTTTTTCTGTTGTGTTGAATTGAGTAAAAAATTTCTCCATGTAAAATAAATATGGGCCAATTCTTAGTGTTGAGCAAGAGACAATCGTCGGAAACGTGAATTTAGCAAGCTATCGTGACTATAATCATCGTGCTATTATAAGGATATACAGTATATGGTATAAACAAGGTCCTGTTGCTCGTAAACGGACATGGGGACCCCTCATTTTTATTTCCAAATTTAAGTTCCTACAATATAAACAGTCAATTGGCAAAGTTTGGCAAAAGTCTCAGTGTAGGTTCTATTTCAGTGGAATGACCTTAAGCTGATCTAGGATTAGCAAGAATTTTGATTTCACTTTGGTAACTTTTCGGTAAGGATTTCTGTGTATATTGTTTGGCCTTCAGTTTTGAATTTAAATAATCTCAAACTGCACTAAAGATAGGCAGTGACAAACATTTTTTAATGCTTCAGTTAACTTTTAATCCTGGTCCAGTTGTATTGGTGGTTGACAGGAGGGTTTTGTACAGAAGTGTACATCCATATCATTGGTAAAAGGTTCCACTGGTAGTACACCCTTGTTTGGTTGAAGCTCTGTAATTTGGGGATAAAGAAGGAGAAAGTAGAAGGCATGCATGGATGGCTTCTCTTTCCCTGTTTTGAAAAGTCACAATTTTTGAAAAGGGAATGGTGAATTATTACAAGTTGCCCATAGAATGCATTTTCAATAATTGGACTTCTCCCTTTATGGTCAGAACCTCTTATAAATGGCCACTTCTTGTAGGTGACAACAATTACACTTAGCGCTGATGGCTGACATTTTTTTTATTGTCTTTAGCATCTAGTAGGCAACCACTTCATTTGGTGTGGTCTTACTATAGTTAAGTAGGGTGTCAGGGTCAAAATTGTGACCAGCTGGTCGCCAATGCGACTGAAAATTGAGTGTTGAGGCCAGAATATTGAGGCTAGTCGCCATTAGGCAACTAACTTTTAGCGTCTTGAACAGGCATTCAAGAAATCAATTTCGTTTTAAATCCAAAAACTTTGTGTTTGGTTTCAAGCAAAAAACTTACCCCTTGTCTCCTCAAAGTATTTAGCTTTCATAGAAAATAATTTAGATCAGAAATGAAGGTAAGCTTACTGTTAAATGACTCCCAAAATAGTTTAAATCCACACACTGTAATCAACATTTAGTGCCGCCATGTTTTCAGCAGTTTCAACTGCCAGCCATATCGTGGGTGCATGGCAGAAAGATGTGCTTTCCTTTCAAGCAACATGGCCGCTTGGTTTGTGCATGTCTAGAAGGCTTCATACCGATGGCATGTAGGAGGAAAATGATGTTATGTTCAGTCTCAGCTTAGAGAGCTATGTATTTGATGAAAACTCCATTTCAACTAAATTGTAAGCTACATGATATTTTAATGTCTTTACACGTGGAATCTGACTCTTGCGGTCATTCAGGAGTAGAAATATCTTCACACAAAGAAACATCTTGAAAAACTCCACGTTTTTGTGTTTTGCTCTGAAGGAAAATTTTTATTGACACTTTTTGGCGACCACATTTTTCCATCTGGCGACTGAAAAAAAATTTCAGTTGCCAGTTGGCGCCTGCCTAAAAAAGTTAATTTCAGACCCTGGGTCAATTGAGTAAGAAGACATCTCCAACCCTGATATTAAGATAGATTTTGTTTTTGTAGGAGCTCCTTGATCCTCATACATGTAACTGATGTTTGCAAGTGGCTATTATTCACTGCAATACTGCTAACATCGTGTAGATGGATGTACCTAAATTTCTTTTTAGACGACGTGTTCTTTATAAATCAGGCTGTGACTCCATTGTTCTCTGACATCTTGCAAGTGACTTTTTAGGTGGTTGCATGGAAAGGTTCAAAATGGAATTATGTAATAGTGACATGTAGAAATATAAATTATGCTATTATTATACTCAAAGTTATTTTTGAAAGTTGTACTTAAGTTGTCTTTCGTATTTGTGAATTCAGGTTTTTTAGTTATAAACTTACTATGATGGCTGACAGCTGGTGGATGTTTAAAGGAATTCTGTTCTTGTGGCTGTACTATGTTGGCTTTTGTTCGTCCTTTGAGAATAATCAAGTTTGTGTGGTCAGTATGCATTATGACATTTAAGTGATATTTAACATTTTGCTTCTATTGAGACAAGGATACAGCGAGATCTATGATAATTTTTTGGCAATGTCAGTCCTTAACCATGATCAAGTATGATCACCTTCAACTATCCTCTTCGTGTCAAGTGTTTAGTTATTGGCAGTTTATCAGGCCTCATCTGCTTATTTTCCTGATTTTTTTCAATGTATTTTTTCATTAGTTTTGTGCATTTATATATTTATTTATTTATTTGTTTATTTATTTATTTATTTATATATTTATTTATTTATTTGTTTATTTATTTATTTATTTATTTATATATTTATTTATTTTAATCTTTTTTTTTCAGGAAACTAATTGTAATGGTACCTCATGTAACCACTGTTATGATTATGGCTGGGCAAGTTTCGGTACACTCATTCCAACTCCATATTTAATGGTAAGTTAGAAGCCCTTACTGAATGAGGATTTAATTGTAATGCCAGTTCAGGACCCTGTTGAGAATTTTTTGTAAAGGAAATAAAATGGCAGAAATGACATGGCTAGACTTTTAGTGATGGTAAGATACTGGTGCAGAGGCCTGATTGACAGCTAGATATTGGATGGTTACTGCATATTAAGCAAATTGGAACAAATGGATGGCCAAGTAATTTTGTTGTGTTCTTCTCTCTGCCTGAGGGTGTAAATTTATGGTTACATGTGATCTGTCAGATTATAAGGGTACTTGACAAAATGCTGAAAGGGGGGGGAGGGGGGACTAACTTATGAAGCATTCAGTGCAGGGGGGGAACAGAACTCCTGATGGCCTCACGCTACTGAAACCAGGATAGCCTCATGCAGTTGTGAGCTACTGGTCGCATTATCTTTACCTTTTAGTAAATAACATTTATTGTATCTTTTTAAGGGTGTTGTGGTATTAGCTAACCCCAGAGAAGCTTGTAAGCCAGTCAAGCCTCTAAGTAGCTATAATCAGTCAGGTTACTCTGGAAATTGGTTTCTACTCATTGATGTGGGTGATTGTGATTTTGATAAGAAGGTATGTGATGTTATTAATATGTTGTTACCACATAAAAAATTACTGTACGTTTGAAAGGCTAGGGTTAAAGGTCATTTATTTTATTTTTTTTCATTCAAGATGGTATCTTTTGGGGGTCTACTAGTTTCCTTTGTTGCATTCAGTCGTGAATTAATGTACCTGACAATGGCAATAGTGTGGTATTAAATTTAAAATTTTGTAGCCACTGCATTACTGTTAATACTGATTAGCTCTAAGTGGTCAACTACAGAAGTATTGATACCTACAAGTAATTTCTATGAAGAATTATAAATCAGCCAGAAGTTACAACATATTATAATTAGTTCAAAATAAACGTCAATAAACTGAAGGATTTGCTGTTTTTGTTAATCCAGGGGGCCTATGCTACTGAAGGAGGCTTTAATGCTGCTATTATCAGGAGTTTAAAGAGTGATAGTATTGAACCAATAGGAGGTGGCTCAGGCAAGTAGCAAAATAAGTTTTGTAAACTATTTTGCATTATTTACCGTACTTACTATAATAGTGCCGACAACAACATGGCAGGCATGTCCTTTACGTGTAACAATGTCATATATGGAACTTACGTCCAAGTGTCCACAGAATCTTTCACGATTCTAGATTCTGCCGCCTCCAGTTTTCAAGTCAAGATAAAAGAGGTGGTGTATACTAATTTTACCCCCTAAGAGTGCAAATTGGCACAGAAGGTCATAACGTTGTGAATATTTGACAGATTTTTATGAATTTTTGCCATGAAAATTGTCTTGTGAAGATCTGCTCATTGAAGTCATAAAATTTTGACTCCCTCTCATCCAAGACATGGTTGACCACCCCCAGAAGTTTTTAGTTCCTTTTTGGGGATGCAAATGGAATGCAAGACTTGTTTCTTATCAAGCTATGCACTAAGAGCTGCTAAATAAGTTATAGTTTAGGGGTATACCTAATATATTAGAAGATTGATACATTTTTGAAGTCGTTCATTTTCCTATGTTAAAGCAATTTCTCTCAAAATGTCTACCTCCTTCATAGCTGCTGATGTCAATTCTTAAATAAGCTGATTAGTGGCCTTCAAATGGTATATTGTACACAGGCAGAGTGTCGTTCGCCTTAGGGGGTAAAGGGTTACGTGGGAAATTCAACTCTAAACTAACAGCTGAGGCACTTAGATTTGTCTCATCCTTTTTAATTCTTTTTTTATGTAATTTGTGTTCACTCAATGTAATCTTTTCATTCTGTTTCAACTACTGTTGGCGCACGCGCAGTCCTTTGTTCCCAGTGTATTCCAATATTCAAATTGTTAACGTAAATTTTATGGCGTAATTCTATAACATAATCATGTATTTGAAAATTCAAATGTACACTAAATGTGGGTTTCAAAACACATTTTGTTGCAGTAGTTGTTGCATTTTACAGATGATCTGTCTTTACTTTTTACAGATGATAGAAAAGTGGATGTTCCTGTTGTTTACATAGGAGAGGTATGTACATGTGCTTGTACTATGAATAGTTCTTATGTCTGACTGATGAAGATGTCCAGTAGAGTACATACAAAAAGCTCAACAAGGTCAAACTAAATAGCATAATAACAGTGATATAAATGTTCAAAACGCAGGTGTCAAATTTATTTATAACATTGTGTAGGCAGAGGTTGAAATTCTGCATTTTTTTCCCCGACAATTTTGTTATTAGCACATTGGTTAAATTTTCATCTTCATTTTTCAGACTACTGGTCAAGAGCTGGAAAAGAATGATTTTAGCAACCAACCGTAAGTCAGCTTTCAAAGTTGCAGGTTTTGCATGACAACTCTTGTTTGGAAAAGAAAAGAACATTTCTTTGTCTCGATTTTAACTTCGCCTAAATTATATCTAGCCACCTCTAAATATCTGCTCCTGGGTCCCCAAGGATGAACAAATCGTGCTTAAGTGACATCATAATTTCCAAAATCCACCATCTTGATGTCAGAAAATGACCAATGTCTAGAGAAATTGGAAAAAAATAGGATGTAAGCGATCCTACTTACAATAATATATAGATTTAGCCAAGCCTAAAAGTGGAGCCCCTGGGCTGGATTGTGCAAAGCCCAATTAAGCTAACTCAGGATAAGCGAGAATTGTGATTTGAGTTTTGTGACTTTATGGTGAGGTCTTCCGTTCATGTTGTTTGGCCTTCTGTTTTGAGTTTGAATAATCTCAAGGTCCTCAAAATACACACAGCAAAACCAGTGAAAAACATTTGTTTACAAGATAAAATTATGCTATATGAGCCCTTGATCCAATCAAAAA